AAAAACTACTGAAGACATTGTTTTACTTTATTTACACAACTGCCCTTTTGAGTACTTGAATTTGTCAATTTACTGGAAAACCATTGCATATTGAGTTGTGTATCCCACAGGTTGTATGCCTTGGTTTTACACAGCCTTGATGTTCTACTTGTTTTATTTATATGGACTTTAGGGAAGAATCTTTCTACCTTTTTTTTCTGTTACACTGTGAATATCTCCTTTAGTCAGTTTGACCTCATTTTTCCTTTGTATAGAAGCATTCCATCTCTAGCTAGTACATCATGTATGTTACACAAACTGTAGTTGTTTTTCCTATCATTACTATCCCTGTAAATGCCTTCTCCTTTCTGTAAATTACTTGTTGAGAAAGTAGTTTCTTGGATCAGCAGTAATTCGATTTCCTCTTTACTGAATGTATCATAGTAGGGTCCTTTTTTTCTTTCGCTTTGAATTATTGTATTTATAGATTGCCATGTTGCTGAGAGCTTAGCAGTGAAATAATTTTAGGTATTTTTAGCCATGCTCGGTGTTGCCACTCAGCAGTGTATTGAAATTATTGATATGCTGTGAATTGAACTGTGATTGAACAGCTATGTGCTATTAAATTTTTTTAATCATGTAGAAAAATAATGGTGTTTGTGTGTTTCGATGTTTTAATGGGTTATGGAAGACCTGAAATGTAAGACTTTTGTCCTCAACTTAGGGTACGTTCCATTCAATGGAAAATCCTGGGTTTGAATTTCTTTCCAGTGCTGAATCAAACAGCATTTTCTGGTTCCTCCAGAAAAGACGACAACCTTGGGAGGTATACTGAAATTCTTAATGGGAAACTCTCTTCCATTTGACTTCCTACCAGAATTTCTGGAACGTTCAGTTGATTAGCTTGCCTTTTGGAAATTCAACAATTTCCAGTCTGTACCATTTCTCTCCATATGCAAAGCAACACCTCCACATTCTATCCCCATTTTTGCATGTTCTTGGTCTTCACTCTTGATATATTATCTAATTGTCCGCTCTCGCTCGTTGCCCCATTGCATAAATTATAAATTCATGTGTCTGTCCACTTAGTGACAATGAAAATTAGACAATAAGCATTCAAGAATTTCTGCAGTTATCGTAAAATACAGTTTAAGGAGATTTCTCATTGTCAATAGCATTTTCACTTTTATTGTCAACATTGTGTTGTCAACTCAATCTAGTAATAAAATATTACATATTTAAAATATAATTGTTTACCACTATATATTTTTATTTCTTTGGGAAAAGCCGTATAAATATTATCATCCACATAAATACGATGCAAACTGTTATCAACATTATCCAGATCCACAAAGAACATGGCCTCTGTGTTAACTCCTCAAGTCTTTCTGATTCTCGTTTAAGTTTTTCAAAATTGGAATCTGCAAGCTTTGTTGAATGTTCCAGTGTCTAAAGAAAAGAAAAGAAAATTATTATGTTATTCAAAAACCTTTGAAATCCTTCACACCTGGCTTGCTTGAGTATTAATTTATTTTTCTCTGTTTTAATAAGGTGCACTTGAAGAGAACGGCTCAAACTAACAATATTAATAACTTAACAAAAAATATATAATTATATAAAACAAAAACATTAAACAATGGAAATCACGACCGTCACAGTGTTTGAATATATCTGATCTTAATTAGCATACTATTAGATTTTTACCATTTTATTTCTTGGTATTTTTCTATTTTCCTATTTTTCTGGCCCCACTCTCTATGTGGAGAAGTAGAACTGATGATAATTTTGCTTAGTTTTAGTTCCAATTGAGAAGATAATATCAAACACTCAAGACCGCATTCAGGGGAGGTGCAGGTGGTGCACATCCCCACCCCTGAGGTGACATAGATATATCCACTTTTCAAATTTCTTTACCTCATCAGTCAGTTACACCATTCCTTAGTGGTGCACCCCCTCCTAAGAAAAATCCTGGATCCGCCCCTGACATTAATTTGACCACATTTCCAAACACCTTGAAGTTCATTAATAATACACCGCTTCATGTCATATTTTTCAACTTTCTTCCCAGGGTTTAGAAATATGGTCAAACACAGTCTTTTATGTATGGTATATCACTGCAAAAGCAAGTGCAAGAGGCTGATGATAAACAAAGACCTCCTTATACTCAGTGTTAGCTTTTACTTTTAGTTCTCTCAGTTCCACTCTTCCCACCCATTGCAGACCTATGCAAGGTCTCATTGAACAAAACACATCTCACCTTGTTATCTTCTTTAATAATATTACTGGCCACAACTGATGAGTGTTTCAAGTTCTGTGCCATTTTGATCATTTCTTCGGCAATGTTTTCCTGCATGTTTTGGTGATATTGCAGCACAGTGTCTATACTTTCATCTTTTGTGTCTCCCTTCTTGTCTCCTGACAATCTGTTATTGAGACATGAGAGTATGAATAAAGTAAAGTCAGACCAGCAGCAAGTTTTCAGATCAAAATTCTCTTTGTATGAAATGAAAAAAGAAGGTGAACATTACCTGTTCCGCAGGCCTTGAGAATCTTTTGTGTTGTCTAAAATAAAGAGAGGAAAATTCCCAAGTTACAAAATAATTGATTATCGAATAGAACAATAAAAAAATATCATAAATTTAGTTGTTCACTTTGCAGGGATTAAAAGAAGAAGATTACTAGGTCTGGGGTTAATATTCCAGATATTAACTGGGCATTCAGCAAAGCCTAAGAAAAAGAACCAAAATGAAATTCTTTCCTGTCCAGTCTGACATGAATCTCACGTGTTGGTTCTCGCCTTGCTCCAAGGGTTTTTTATTTATTTCACTTCACCTACCTAAAATACTTATATTAAAATATTTCTGGGTTCTCTGGGTTTCCACCCTCCACAAAACCCAACACTCCAAATTTATTCCAATTCAACCAGGATAGAGGACCCATGTGCAAACCAGCTATTAAAGGCTGATGTAGCTTCCTCCCTGAATATAATGTTAAGAAGTTTTTTTTTTAAGTCAATACAATCATATGGTTTACATAATCATTTGTGTTATGTTCATCTCAAGAGTTTCGGAAATAAAATTAATAATCTCAAGTTGCATTCCCTCTATTTGTGTCAAACATTTTTTATTAATGAGTAAAATTAATGTTTTATTTTATGTACTTTCAAGATAATAAGGCCTAGTCCATAGAAGACATTTAATGTAGAAAGGTAAGGGTAATATTCTCACCATTTCCCAGCAGTTCATTTGTCATTTCTTTGTGTATCTGTGATTTTGCCCTAATATGTAATTCTTGTCCTTTACTTGCTTGCCGCCCTTTGTCTGCTGTTTGCACAGCTTGGCTAGGCTGCTGACTCAATGGACGTACCAGTTGTTGACTGGCAAGCAGCTTGTCTGTTGGAGTTTTCTATCAAAAAGGCAGGATTAGTAAATGACTTAAGTCTTCTGGGTTCTAAACGAAAAGTTGCTTACAGCTTAGCATGGACAGGGCTCTGCTCTGTAAGCACCCAGGGGCCTTTGGGCAAAAGGGAAAACTTACTTTTTCCATTAGCTTAAGTGCCAGGCACCCAGGATTTCATGATTAGGAACCTTTGGGCTCCTCATAATTTTTATTAGATCACAGCCTTGATGGGTGAACAGATACATGTATTTCTGGTGTCATTTAGCTCTATAGAGAGCTATCAAATTTATAAAGCCTCTCTGATTGACTATTACTTGTTTGTTTGTTTGTTTTGTTTTGTTTTTTTATTTTTTGCATGCAAGTAGCAGCTATTTAGGACACTACATAGATTTCCAAGGAATTATAATTATTATCATTGTTCTGTCAAATGTCAGCTCTCTCCTGGACAGTGAGAATGGATTGTGTAAATAAATACATATGCTTGCTCAGTTTATTTGTATCTAGCTAAATTGGAGATCTCCGTTTTCTTTTGTCATTTTGGAAATTAGAAGTACAGTGCGGTATTGTTTATTTCACCATTCTGTCATAATAATAGTACACATATATCTTTCTTTACCATCCTCTGACCTGGCTGAAGCTTGAACAAAGGTCTTACCATTTTCTGTGTTTCAATGAGACCTTTCAGGAACTCAACTTTCTTGTTATATTCGTTCATTGTATCTGGACTGGGTTTGCTGTGAAATGAGTATAATGAAATTATTCAAATAAATTGTAACAGGAAATCTTTCTAAATATAACAGAAAAACTTCATTACAATATGTTATATTGGGCACTGATATTGCATTTTTAAAAACATCTAAATTATATTCTTTTATGATAAATTATTGGTAAACTGATCCATATTGGTATACTCATACCATTGATGAAAATATTTTGAGAGTTTCCCTTTTTGTAAAGTGAAAACATTAATTTTTATCTCCTCTTTCTGGCCTTTTAACATTAAATTTGTGCTTACCTGTTCGACTTTTTAAGTTCAGTAACTTGCCTCTGAAGGGTTGATACATACTACAGGAGAAAAGCATAGAGCCTATAAAATCTTAGCCTGAATTTCAGCCACCTCCTCCTTTATTTTTCGACGGAACCAAGTGACAGCCGGAAATACGTCTGCGTTCGCAGGCTACCCCAACCCACACCCCAGGGGTGTCCATGATCTCACCTGTCTGGGCAGGCGCAGGCACGCATCTCTTGTTTATTTTTATCATATGGCAATTTGATTGGCTGTTGGCACTCTGGACGTGATATTTTGCATGTCCATGTCGTCATCATATCGCAATTTGATTGGCTGTTGACACCCATGGCGTGACTCGAAAGTGTGCATTACGAAATTATCTAGAAAGCACGGAGAAAGCGATAGTGGCGACAAACAAGAAGCTACGGTGCTTCGTTTTCATGGAACCCTTGCCCTCGGATTGGTTAGCATTCGCTGTCACCGCCAACAAGCTTTTCAAACTGTGATTTTCATAACTGAAGTTAAACTCAAGAGCTTTTCACCTGATTTTTGAGAATTCAAGGTAAGTTTTGCGTGCGACCTCTCATTAGCGCACTCGATCGTGCATCTACCCTTGTGTCGTTTTCTTATCTGAGCGGTTTGTTCTCAGCCGTACACTCACTCTTATATTATATCTTATAGGTATCAAAGATGTCTTCCGTTCCCATAAGTTCAGCTTTTGTAAGGAGGCAGATAAATCCCGTAAAACCAGAGACGAAAACAGAAACCACAAACGAAAACAAGCAAGCTATTGTGCAACAAAGACAGCCATTCTTCAATTCATTCTTTACAAGCTACAAAGATTGGAGAGAAGTCGGAAAAGACGTTAGGACTTGAGCACTGGAGGTCCTTCTCAATGTCATCAACCTGGGATTGCACATCGCACTAAATCCTTTTTGAGGATTTCTCATTGACGACTAATTACAATCGATCACGCCAAGCTGCACGCGCGGTACATCAGGAATTGTTGAGATGTCAGTAGAGGGAGCATGAATAATTTGGTTATTACCTAACTGCCTCAAACGATACATTCAAGTGTTACAGACGTTTGCATGGCAAAATATCTCAAAGAAGCCGTCAATACCTTGTCTAGACTAAGTAACGTAAAAGCACAAATACTCCTAATTGTTCCTGTTCGCATTGATTGTAAATGTTTGATCGACAGAAGGAAAGTCTTGTGCTACTCTACAAATGGAAGGTATAGATCTATATTATGAGAATTTTATCAATAAAATTTACGTTTCCTAGTTTGTGTACTTTCAGAACAAATTATTCATTGACGGTCGGTCTTCCACCCGGAGGGGGGGAGAAGGGGGCTCCCAGATGAATAGATCGGGGATGCTCTACGGAAAATTTGAATTAAACCCCTAAAGGAGATGACAGAATAGGCTTCATTACAACCCACAGTTCAGTACTGGAGCCCGGGCTGGAAGACCGGACACGAGAGAATGGCGGAAATTGAGCCTAAAGCAAAAACAGAAATGAGAGCGTTTTTTCATTATTGTCACTTCGATTGCATCCTAAAAGATACCTTGACAACCAAAAGTGGCGTTTCATCCTGAACATTCTAAGTGAGACCAAAATACTTTATTTACAAACCTGTAAGCGGCGAGACTACGARCATCCCCGACCTTTTCATATGGGAGTTCCCCCACCCGGGACTTTTCCAAAGATCGAAAGGGGGCCAGAATTTGTTAGAAGCTGGTGACTTAGACTTCGAGTAGTCCCTCTTTCGTTTAGTCCGTCGTGCGTGACGCGAAAGAAAACCGCGAGAAAAAAATGGCCGCGCGAAATCCTGGAGGCGAGGAGCGCTCCTGGCCCCCAGGATTTCGCGCGGCCATTTTTTTCTCGCGAATTTCTTTCGCGTCACGCACGACGGACTAAGCGAAAGAGGGACTACTCGTAGTCTACTGGTGACTAGCCTTGATTGTCAGTTGTTTCTTGTCCCCTACACCAAATCCCGAGATTTTTATAGCTCCAGAGAAAAAGAAGTAGCATACTGAGAAATGAGTGTAGGTAATCAGGGCAGAAATGGAAGAAAACCAGATTAACGACTAAATAGTCCCAAACATGCCTTTATTTACACCTTCACTACGGTCAGTGTAGTTGATACGAAGTTTATTATTAGCTTACAGTGTTCAATCTTCAATGGTTTATGCTATGTAATTTTACTACATTTATATTTTATATTTGAGACAAAAAGTCGCACAGTAAAATGGAAACACTCCACACAGTAGCGGGAACAGTGACATGCAAATGATTAAAACAAACTTGACAGGTTCGAGACAGGGATTTCACTGACTATTGGTCAAAATCGAAATTAAAATGTCAACCTTGAGCTAGTGAGTAAAGAATGGGCCTAACACAGCATAATTGTATCAACATCACCTGTCAATGATCACACCCAAGTAACTCAAAAACTTGTCCTCTGGCACAGACGTTAAAACCTGAATGTAGAAACAGTTTACCTGACATTTAGACTTTCATTTAAAAGATCACTGAAAAAGAGCACAGGTTTGGACTAACCCAAGGCAAAAATAAGGTACTGAACAATCAAGGATATACTTCATGAACATCTTATACACATAGTAATTGACTGTATCAGATAGCCAGCTTGCTTTCTGAGCTTGTAAAAAAATTCAGTCTTTCAATTCTTTTTAATTGGTTTTGCAAAACAAGTTTAGCAAGCATGTTCAGAGCACTTGTGCAACCGGCAAAAAGACAAACAGAAATAAAAATATTGATTCAGATACAATATTGTTCTGACATGTGAAAGGTTGATTACGTTGAGTACCCAAGAGACATGTTAGCCAGTTGTAATCACTGTGTGATCCATGTCATACAACGACCGTCACACAAATGTCTGAGCCAGAATCTATAAACCCTCAATCAAAACTTTTCCCACTTTTTACCGGTCAGTGTTTTACCCTGAACAAATGTCTCTATATCCTGAAAGACTCAAAAAATCAAACTCCCTGTCATTAAATTGATTATAAGAAAAAAACGAAAAAAACTTTGCAATTCCCTTATTGAAATTTCCAACAAAATTAGAATTCCTGTTGTTTTTAGACTTTTCCCCAATTTGTTATATTTTCTAGCTATTCCTTAACATTGAGTGCAAAAAACCCTGAAATAATGAACTTCTTCCACAAAAATTTCATGAACTAGAATTTCGATTGAAAGAAAAAAAAAAAGTAATTCCTTGGTAAAGACAGACTAATGCCTTCGAGTGGACCACTCGTTGTCAGTGAAAGACAGAAGCTCGTTGACAACAAGAGCCACGTTGTTGTTGTGCTTCTTCAGCAGCTCCTCATTGAGCTTGCGATCACAAAAGCCCATCTCCATCAAGCATTCTTGACAGGTGGTAGGAGAGCGGCCAGGAGGCCAAGCTACTGGGTGCACTTCAGGAGCATCCTGTGGAAAGAGGGGTGAAAATACTATTAATTTAACAGGTACCCACAAATGAAGCTTTTAGGCTAACAACACAAGTTGTAACACAAATATAATCAAATGCTTATACATTATTTTGCAGCATTTTAGCAACAATTTAATTTCGTGATATTTGAATGGTTCACTCAATTTTTGCAAATTTGGAGAATTTGTTTCACATTCCCTTTATTGCTCTTTAATATATAAGCCACGTTTTTCACAACATTAAATTTTTGCATTTGAATTTCCGTCACAGAGTAGCACGTTCCTAAAATTGTGTGACATAAAATAGTGTGACCAAATAGCACATGAATAGCATGACCATAGTGGAATAGTGTGACAAAGTAGAATCTCAGAATAGTGCAGTATACTAGCCCTAAAAAAGCATGTCCAAGAAGCTCTTAAATTAGTGTTTAGCTCCAAGAAACAGTGAGACCTAATAGCTAAGTGGTGTAACCAGCTAGCCCTTATAAAGTGATAAAGTGCAACATTCAAGCTCCATAACCCATACTGTTTGCTTAGATTCAAGCAGCTGACAGACATTCCAAACTTTGGTGCTCATCAAAGCAATTGGGCTTACCCTTATGGGTGTGTCATCTGCTCCAGGTGACGGGTTCACTGAAATCTCACATCCTTGCTCAGGATTGTACGTGGCTGTGGTTTGTGACTTGCAGTTGGATCCTCCGTTGAGCAAATTCTCCACAGTGGTCATAACGGCTCTACCTGCACTAGCAGCAGCATCTATTGCAGTGGACAATACATCAGACACAACATTGGCTGCAAAATCACTGCTGCTGCTGTTATGTCGGGCACGTTGGACAACAAGGACTTCGCTTGCAGGAACGGTTGTCGGAACTGTGACTACAAGTGTTGAAGGCTCTGGCTGCAGTGCAACAGGGACTGGCTCATCGAGGCCAGATAATGGTTGGGTTGCAATAGGTTGTGAGCTCACTTCTGGTACAGCTGGCTCATTGTGGTTTCTGTTGCGATCATCGTCGTCATCACTACCATCATCATCATCATCATCACCATGACTGTCATCATGCAATGGTTCTGGAGCAGGCAGGGGTTCAACAGTAATTGGCAGATAAGGTTCAGCGGGGATCATCTCTGTAGGCGAGGCTTCCATTTTTATGGGGGTCTCCAGCACTGGTTGCGGAATCAGTGGCTCAGAGAGCAGTGGGATTGTCTCATTAGCCAAATCAAAGATATTATTTTCTTCCTCTGCAGTAACCCTTGATGTCATCTCTAATGTTGTTTCAATGCTGCTGACACTCCTTTGTTCAATGAAAGAGGCACTACCAGAACTCTTGATCTCGGTTTGAAGGGTAGCCTGATTGCTGTCACTGAATAAGAAAGGCCCTTGTTGACTCTCTGTCAGTTGCTTGTACTCTGTAATGCTGACAGTCACAGGAGATGGGTCTGCAGTCAGGGGGGCATCTGGATCAAAGCAGGGAGGGACTGGTACCACCATAAACTCATCTGACATATCGCTGGAGATGCTTTCAACATCACTTACAGCATCTGTGAATTTTAAAAAACATACATTAATAATAAAGCCCTAAGTTGGTGTATTCATTAACAGATTAACAAGGGCTCAATAGGGTGTCACAAGCTTCTAGGGTTTCCTCAGAAGCGTTACATGCCAACTAGAGAGTATGTCTCATCTATAGCCATTTACCATTTTGTTACTTGTCGCTATCTGATGACACCACTGTCAGTACTTTAATTATTGAGCTCAAAATTGGACAGCATGCTCTGTGATGTAACTATTTTTACATGGTTGTCACATTCTGCTACAGATTGCTGAACCTGTCTTAAAACACTACATGACCCCTAAAGTTAGCTCATTAAAGCCAGCTACACCCAGCTTTTTGCATTTGAATAATAATTAGTAGCACACAAGCAGGTTTACATGTACATATGTCTGGGCCTGAACACAAGCTTCCACTTAAGTCCTAGCCAGCTCATTGTTCCAACTGCATTGCTTGTGCCTTGTGCCAACTGCAAGCCCTTCGTTCCCCCCGCCCAAATCCCTCCTTTGGAAATCCAATATCTCCCCTTGGGGTTGATATGGATATATTTTCTGGAACCTCATATTATCATAATAATAATAATAATAATAATACAATAATAATAAGTAAGCATATTAAATAGTATTATCAATCAGTACCTTCTGTGGCACACTCCACAAGCTCTTCTATCTGAGCTCTTTCACTTATCTCCGAATCAAGGACACACCCTGCAGCATCCCACTCCAGCTCCGCAGGCTGAGCAGCCTGACTTGCCATCAGCACTGACTGTAACGGCATCCTGATCTTCTCAAACTCTGCTGTATCTTCAGAGCTGAGGTATGCATCCGATCCTGAAGCTTCGTCTGGTTCCTCAGCCACCAACCCCTGGGGAACTATGTCTTCCACAAGTTTCCTGACAGGGGAGGTGGTGTGTTCAGGGAATGCACTGTTGACTAGGGTGGTATTGTCATGGCTGAGATATTGTGCTGGTCCTTGTAAAAGAAGAAGAAAAAGAAACATCACCCATAAGATCTTGTGTTTGATCTTGGTGGATAGCACACTGTATTAAGGGTAGCATTAATTTTTCTGGGCAATATTCTATCGTGACCAAGCAGGGCCTTATTTCAATCTTGCTTTTCATCAATCTTTTTGAGTTGCATGTAACTCCTTACTAACAGTTCAAAGCTCTGTGCACTGACAACCATAATCATAAGCAACAGTGCACATTTTGCAGGAGAAATTAAGGATAAAAAAAAAGTTACATTTTGTGACAGTATTCTCATTGGGGTAAGTGACCGAACACTGAGCAAAGATGGAATCAACCAAGTAAATGTTTACTTTCCTTCTTAACATAAAAAAAAAATGGGATTATTACTAATGACAGGAACAATTAAATACTTATTTTCCTGAAGCAGCATTTAATATATTCAATAGTCAATCTGGCTCCAGTTGTTCGAAGGCTGGATAACGCTATCCACCGGATAAATCACTTTCCAGTGGATAAGTGTAACCACACTATCCACTGGGTAGCAATGTATCCAGTGGATAGCGTTATCCAGTCTTCGAACAACTGGGACCTGATGGATTTTAAGACTCTACCTGTCTCTGTGGATGTGTTCTGCATCAATGGAACTTCATGTTCCACATTCTCTCCATCAACCACAATCTGGCACCAGAACAAAGGACCAAATGGAATACTGTGGTGACATAGCTGCCATTTACTACAACAGAACAAATATTTCTGATAAATTTCAATCATCAAATAATGAAATGTTTCAGGGGGTTGTTGGGTTTCCCCAGTTTGCAAGAAAGTAACGAAAAGACAGTGAAGATGGATTGTGCAGGTGTTAAGTTGGACAGGAAGATTCTAGAAAGAAATAAAATGGATCACAATGCAGCTGGTAGGAAAGCCAAGGTAAAGGTAAAGTCTGCACATGAGTCAAGTGGCCCATCAGGCCAGATTTGGTTTCTGTACAATGAGGCAACTAGAGGTATTACTACTTCCCCCTGGATGGGATGCTTGTCCATTGCAGGGTTACCCCCAGCATTAAATTCACCGGTACCCATATGTACACCTGGGTGGAGAGGTGTACTTGTTAGAGAACAATCTATAACAAGTTGGAAGATCCCAAAGAATAGAAATAAAGGAGACAAAGTCTCACTAACAGGTGAAAGAGTTAAAGGTATACAAAGCAGCTCTCCACTGACAGAGGTCACAAAACCCTGCTGAAACTCAAGCGCTCAAAGGTTCTCAAGTTATATTCATGTGTGAACAACGTACAATATCATATGGAAAGGTGAAAAATTTGCCCAAATTAGAACTGACAATAGCATGTGTTACCTTGATTGTGATGACACATGTAACATAACATACCTTTCATAGTGGCCAGGGGTAGCTGGTGCAATGAAGGGTACTGCAAGTTCACCTTGCTCATCTGGTTTGAGCAGTGGCACCTCCATTTTGTTCTCTCCTGAAGCCACTAAGATATTACCCTCTACACACTGCAACTGAAGTGAGAAAAACAAAAGATTTTGTAAAACATTCTGGAATAGTCTTTTAAGACTGCAAGAAGTTAATGCCATTTTCAAGCAACAGGTTGTTCCAGAAAATATCCATAACCCTCCATTGGAAGTTTTTTAGTTGGAACCCCCAGCCCCCCCCTCCCCCCTGGAAATTCCAGTTTAACTTCATACTTTCCTATTAAATGTTAGGCTTTTGAAACCCTCCTCCCCCTTGGAATCTCTGTTGACCTTCCTTAGGGTGGGTATGGATATTTTCTGGAACTGCACAATTTAAATTTTTGCAGAACACATGTTGTTCAGGTACCACACACAAAATGATTGAGTTTGTAAAAACTGAAGGCAAGTACATGTATTCCTGTGGCATAATAATTATTTGGCATTAATTTTAAACATGAATGCTGGGACTCAAAGATTTCAGGAGATGGCATTCATTTTGTGTATAAAACCACACACACACAAAAAAAATATATATATATATAAAATATTTACCACTGTCTTTGCATTCCATTTGCGTCCTTTGTTTTTGACCACCCAGCGCTTCAAAAACTGAAAATTAAACAAATTTACCAAAAGTAGTTTGATTAATAGATTAACACAAATTTTCAGTCCCTCATTCTCCCATAGTTTCTCCCCCAACATTATCAATCCATTCTAAATACTAAACTCTCTAATAAGACATTCTCTACCATGCCTTTTATGTTTTGGCTAAGTCTAGAGGAGTTTCTCTGCTGTCCCTCACCTTCTCTCCTCCCTTCAACACCGTTCCATCAGGAATGCTAGCATCTGCTACGAACTCAGCATTCAGACAATTTTGCAACCTCTCAAGGGTGGTGGCAGAATCCCTCTCTTGGCGCCTGTTTATTTAAGATAAATGTGTTATATTTAACACGTTCAATAACCCTGAATACATGTGTGTTCAACAACTGCAAATTAACTTGCAACAGTAAGTGTCCTGACAAGTCTATGCTGTCCACTGAGCTGTACAACCTTGGTCAGCCACAAGTCTCCCACAGCCAAGGACCAGAAGTGGAACTCGTGGTCAGGCTGGCCAGTACATTCTACCCTGCACTTGCTCGGTGAGCAAGTAGAAAGGTTTTTGGGGTTAAATTTGAGACAATTCAACCAACAGATTGAAGTACAAACTAAATATTAACCAAGGGTGAGGTCGTTACAGAAAAATCTCAAACCGAGACCTTACCCTATTGCTTGGTCAGTAAGGCAAGGCCAAGGTTTGAGATTTCCCACAAATACCAAATGTTCCAGGTTAACAATTTTGTTTATATATCATATAGCTTTTTGCTTTGTATTTTTGCAGTCCATAATCAAACTGTGGGCACTACAGGAGAATAATGCCCTAGAATTAGCCAATCAGAGCGCACACTATATTGACCTTAAACACAAGCCACAAAATCAAATCAGTAACAAATCAAATCATTGTCAGTAGTTTTAATTGTAATCTTTATTATTAAGTGTTCAGGCTAATGAGAAACATTTTTCAGGCTGGTGAAAATGACTTTCAGGCTTGCTCAAAACTGATTTTCACTGCACCCCGGTGTCTGAAAGGTTACAGGTCTAACTCCAATTGAGCAAACACAATTTCTTTTTCTTTTCTTACTAAGTAATTACTTTTTGACTTTAGAGCATAAAATTAATGAAGAAGCTCTCTTCATTTCATTTGCTAAATATGTTACATATTTCAAAAACTAATTAAAAGACAAGTTACATTGAAGGTATTTTAATTCCTGAAAGTCCAAAATACTTACAGTTGTCTCAGTTCCATCCTGGTCTTCCTTCTCATCTCTCTCTTTTCCTTTTCTTCTTTCTTGGCTGCCTTTGCTAACTTCTTTTCCTTCTTCTTTTCCTTTTTGTCTTCTTTCTCTCTTTTTTTCTCTTCTTTCCTGTCATTCTTGTTCTCTTCTTTTAGCGCCATTCTGTACACAAACTTCTTCAACATTGGCACCATCTCTCCATTCTTTCGCCCAATTCCAGGCACATGGTGTCGCAGTTTAGCAAAGAAGTGACTGGGATCATGAATTCCTTCCTTTCCCTCACAATCCTCACAGAGATCATAATCTGTGCAGAAACTGCAGATAAATGAGAAAACCATAAATCCACTGACCAGTTACACAAAGATCCAACTCTGTAGCCACTTATGTATTATGACAAGTCTCTACTCTTCAAGTTATCCCCCTGTCAGGTCCTGCTTCCTTAGCTGTCTCATGTGATATGAGAAGAAGTGAAGAGGTTGGGGTTGTTTTTCTTTTGGTCAAATCTCTTTAGCTAACTTACAATAAAATGTGTATTCCTTACCAGCATTTGTATCGAATTCCAGCAATAGCGTGGCTACACCCAGCACAGACTATACCTTTATGAACAACTGAGAACAACAGAAACANTAGGTCAAAGCATACTCAAACTAATTGTTATTTAAAATTTCAGTTTTATAGCATTTTCAGTGAGGTTTTTGTTTGTATTCTCAGTCCTCCAGTTTTGATGCCAATTGTAACATGTAACCTAAACCTCCGTAAAACAAGAAAATAGCAAATGAGCAACTCTAAATTCTGCTTTACATAGTGTTCATTACTATTTAAGCAGCCTGGCCTGGGCTACTTAGACAAAAATATTAAAAGAAAACAATTATTAAAAAGTTCCTAGTCGTCACCTTGCTGGCTAACAAAAACATATGAATCTTCCTCCAATCCAGGGAGTTCCTGTACATCACCTGGCTCCTTGACCTGCGACACTTCCAGAGAACGTAGCTTGTCATTCACAAGCTTCTCATTGATGGCTTGCAGCTCAACAGCAAGACTCTCAGCCAGCTGGTGATAACAACCTTTGCCCTTACGTCCTTTGGGAACCTTTCTGGGTTTTGCTGGTGGCGGAGGTCTCTGGGGTGCAGGCTTAGGGGGTGGCTGCATCAGTTCGACCAAAGGGATGTATTGCTCCCTTGGCAGAGACTCATCAGGGATCTTCTCGGAGGGAGGTTGCCCTGTTGGTAGGGGATTCTGCATTTGCAATCCTGCCATGCTCTCATCGGCAGCCTCAGCTCCCTCACCACTACTTCGTGCTTCATTCTCTTTTGGAGGCAATTTGCCGCTATCTGTGGTCTTGCATGGGTCATCATTAAAACCAGAACATATTGGAACATCTTCAGAAGTTGAAGCTGCTACAATCTCACTTTCCATTGGTTTGGTGTCATCCATTTTAGCTGTTTTAATGCCACTGTTTGGTTCAGATTGAGGAGGGGGATTAAACAAAAATTTTCGTTTTGGGGCTTGAGGCTATAAAGAGAGAAAAGGTGGTTAAGTCTATTCAATATTATATAAGTCTAGTTCGTAATTTCTATGGTACAAATGTCTAATTTTGATCTCACATTGAACAAAAAGAAATTACCCTTAAGTGAGTAGTCTTTTTATTCTCCCACCTAGATATTATAAAAGAAATGTGTATATTTCACTGAATGAGGTGAAACTGTGTATGTTGATTTTGATAATCACTCAAACTACAAGTATACTTACAACAGGGGTGGTGTCTGTCACACTTTCTTCCAGTAAATCCTTGAAACTTTCAATTTTTGCTGCAGAGGTTTGATCAGAGGGAGTATCGACAACCAGTCTTAACAGGCCTGTTTTCTGAGTGACCTGTATGCAAAAGAAGAGGATGTTCTTCAGCAAAACCTGACTAGAGCCCAAGTTAAGCAAGCTAAATTTTATGTTAATTTAATTTTAATTTTTATGATAATGAAGTAATTAAGAAATACATCATGCATGAATCCTCTTTATCATGTTTGCCACCCACGAAGACAACAAAAAATCTCAGATTTTTCCCTGACTTTTTGCTAACCAAGAACATAGACTCCAAATTAATGAACAAAATTCAATCAATGATAAGCTACCAATTTACTTGGACCGTAAGAGACATGTCCTTGCTATAAAGCAAAACTACATGTTCATCTGAAACCCGACACGACAATTTATGCTGTCCACAACCACAGTAATGTTATAAAGAGTACAACTTGTGAACACAAATAAAATCCAATCAACAGTGCAGACAATGAAACGTTAAGAACACTCATTACGCCACTGCTACAATGTTTTTAAAGCTTACCTTCAAAGCTTCTTCTAGTTCACCTACAATGAAAATCAATAAATAAAATATTGAATTTTTTACTGATTTTACGCAACTTTCTAAAATACTAGACTGATGTCCC